ACTACTTATGTCTACCACACTGTGACTGTATGATACCTCACCTCTTCCTAGGACCTGTTAGGCAGGTCCCGGCATACTGACAAGGATGTATAGAAATGTAACTGAAGAACCTACACTCAGACCACTTGGAAAATGTTAGCATTTAATTAACCTCCCTGGGTGGCTTCAAGCCACCAGGACACAGGCACCTCCAACACCCTTTATCTTCTCTTCAGCTCTTCTGCTGAAAAACTTGGCTTTCACGATGACAGGCTGCTTAGGGAGCTTTCCCTTCCCCAGGACTTTGTAGTAGCCCTAGACAAAGACAAAAAGATTCTTAATATACAATGGCCTCAGAGATCCACCAACACATTTACATAATGCTGGAATTAAAACATGCATTGTCATGCGTGGCCCCTGGTAGGACATGTTTCTGATCTGGGCACTAACAGGGACACTGAAGACCCCTACCAGTGAATCAAGACCAGCAGATTCTCTTCGAGAACTCTAGCACACCAGGACAAGCACCATGTCAGGATGTGACTCTAGTCTCGGCCAAATAAATACTTCTCCAATCCCTACCAGTTACATCTACTAAATGTGGATCACTAAATAGGCTGGGAATTGAATTAGTTACCAGCAGCCTATGATTTGGGTCTCTGCACTTAAGCAATAAGGGGGGGGGGGCACATTCTTTTTATAGACAATATTGGGCCTTGAATTAACACTGGGACTTAGTTAAACTGCAAAGGCCAAGCTGTACCTTAAGACCATTCTGAACCAACCAAGTTAAAACAAAACCTAGTAGGATCAGCATAACTGTACTGAAACTTATTTGCTGAAAGCAATACTCTAATATTTTTGTTAGAAATGAAAGCAAATACTTGATGGGTGTGTTCTCTGAACTCACAATCCACATGTGGGGATCAAAGGGAAGGGGAAGAGTTCTATTTGGGACCAATTCAATTCCCTGCAACAGTTCTACTAAAATGTGGATTCTCTAATCGGTAATGGCCAAATAAGTTTGACCCCAGAGGAGACAAGGTGGATAAAATTCCCTCACCGATCGCACAACATCAATGATGGGAGCAGCTCCAGTCTTGTTCTTTGCAGCATTGACGCGTGTCTGCTCACTGACCAGTGTCCACAATTTATCCAGGTTGACAGTCGGACAGAAGCTCTGGTTCCTCTTTAAATGGTAATGTCTCATACCAACTTTCCCAAAGTAACCTGGATGACTGGGAAGGGAGAGCAACCATCTTCAGAGCCTCACTCCAAGCAAGCTGATCTTAGTAGTTATCTCATCCCATTCCAGTGTAAATTTTCCCTGTTGTAAACTTTGACATAGCAGACACCTGATACCAACTTTTAGCTAAATCGTAAGTCCCTGAAGAAGTCATATCATTTACTAGCATCCCTTAAGAGGTTACCTAAAGGGCATCCTCTAATGGCTGGATAAAAGCCAACCTAACCTCGAATCTGATGCATGTCACTAACCTGGTGACTGACTGTGCCAGAAAGTCCACAGCCAGTGAATAAGGTCAGTAGTTCTTCTTCGAGGGCTCTAGCACACTAAGGCAACAACAATACCTGAGCGTGACTCTAGCCTCGGACAGACTCAGTTCAAATTAAGCGTTTAATTGCTAAAGCTGGCAATAACCAACGTCAAGAAACCGACTTCCGCTGGGAAGGTGTTCCAGGTCATCCCTTCTGCCCCTACCTCCAAAGCCGCCGCTGCCAGTTAAAACCCACCTCCAAGAAACACTCACTATTTGTCGAAGTTGATCCTGTGGTGATGCATGCCTCCAGCATTACCGCGGCCTCCTGGGTGCTTGCGGTGTTTACCTGCAGGCATGCAAAGCTACATGGCTATCAGCCGTCTCTACATGGTCACGTGTCCCTGCCCTTTTTTTGTTCAGTCTACAACCCATTCTTAAGCATGATTGCCCAAGCCTCGAGGATAAAATAAGCCTTTTGGGCATTCCACCATCACAGCGCTCTGTTTAGTTTCACTCCACTACCAACATAAAACTGTCTTAAACTGGATTCGAGGATCTTCAAAGAGGGAAGCTGCTGTTCAATCTGACAGGCAACAAATGTTTCCCTCGACTCACTGCTGTTCATTTCCCAAGTAAGTACCCAAAAAACAGCTCAAAGGCCTGCCATGAGAGGAGGCCCACTTACCGATGCGGCCGTGGCCGTGGCTCACGTGGCCCCGGAGTTTCCGGGTCTTCCTCAGTCTGGATGGCTGTATGGGGAAAACAGTGCAGTTGTTAGGCCTTTGGAAAGGGGAGTCAGGGGTGAGCAACGCCTGCTGCCTTTACTGTGCCTGCGATCAAGGACTTGCCTTCTGGAGCATCCAGCAAGGTTGAGGTTACCGACTGGGGCAGCGCCCGGACGCCCAGGCCCGCGGGCCTCAGCGATCCGAACCCCGGCTGGAACACGCGGCCCCAGGCTCCTCGCCCCAGACCCACGCGTGCCATCCCGCCCCGCAGGCTGCGCGCTGCTACGAAGACGCGCTAAGATCGGGGCAAGCAGCTGAGAGATAGGGGAGGTAGAGCTCCGAACCGCCGCGAGGACGCGGAGGCCAAGAAAGGAAGACCTACCATGGCGGCAGCAGAACGGAAAGAGGGAGGCAGCCGCGAAGTCTCGCGAGGTAGCAGGCGTAGGGGCGGAACCGATACCTCATTTCCGGCCAGGAGGCGGGTCTCGGGCGGGGCTTGACGTCACCGGCTTCCGCCGCCCGCCCGCTCGCCGCTTCTTTTTCATATGGGAGGGCGGGGTGGCATGGTGGCTGCCGTCACCCCGACCTCGGAGCCTTCGGAGCGAGCGGCGCCACGGGGCCGGCGTGTTCAATGACCTTGTTCTTTTCGGGTTTTGTTGGTTGCTGACTCCTGGCCGCTGTGAAACATAAACACCACATTTAACTTCAGAACCTGGCCGCTACACTCCTAGTCACTTGGACCCGAGGTTCCCAGCTCAGTGTGCTCCTGATGCAAGCAGTTCCGGTGTGGGTCTTCTCAGACCTGTTTTGCTGGTTGGTTCCTTGAACCACCACACAATCTTGCATGTAACACACACACTCTTTTTTTCCGAGACAGGGTTCCTCTGTGTAGCTTTGGAGCCTGTCCTGGAACTCACTCTGTAGACCAGGCTGTCCTCGAACTCACAGAGATCCACCTGCCTCTGGGATTAAAGGCGTGCGCCGCCGCCGCCACCACCACCCGGCGCATGTAACTCTCTTACCAAGTTACATTTGTCTTCCCAATTGAACCCAAATCCTTTAAGGGTTCAAGGACTGGCCGTTTTTGTTTGTTTTTCCTCTTTAAATACATGAGTTCCTAGCGTGTAGTAGGTTTACTAAGTGCCCCCAAATGCCCTGAGTGTACCCAAGATCCTATCCCTTAAGTCCGTTAATTTTATTATTATTTTTTTTCTTGATCTGTTAAAGAATATTCTAGCCGGGCGGTGGTGGCACACGCCTTTAATCCCAGCACTCGGGAGGCAGAGGCAGGTGGATCTCTGTGTTCAAGGCCAGCCTGGACTACAGAGCGAGTTCCAGGACAGGGACCAAAACTACACAGAGAAACCCTGTCTCGAAAAACCAAGAAAAAAAAAAAAAGAATATTCCCTATTAGGACCCTTTCCTTTTCCTTTTTTAAAACACGCTCTTCAAAAGCAGAGCATGCAATGGAAATCTTGTCCATTTGCTGGCTTCTTCAGTGTTGTTGTTGTTGGTTTGTTTGGTGTGAGTGTGTGTGCCTTTTGTTTGTTTTTTGAGACAGGGTTTCATTGTGTAGCCCTGACTGTCCTGGAACTCACTTTGTAGACAGGCTGGTCTGGAGCTCAGAGAGAGAGGTCTGCCTGCCTCTGCCTCTGCCTCCCGAGTGCTGGGATTAAAGGCGTGTACCCACCACCACCTGGCTCTTGTCTACTGTTTAATACATTACAATCTAGGCAGTTTGACTTTAGCTACACCATTTCCTCAAGATTATTTTTTATTTGCTCGTTTTGAGACAGGGTCTTACTGTGTAGCCAAGGCTGGCCTGCTTGGGCCTCCTGGTTTCTGGAATTACACTCTTAAAAGGCTTGACAGGCATGATGACCTATAACTTTCTCACTTGGACTATTATAGCACATCTGTTGTCCTTGTTCAGCTCCTGTTTAGGCAGGCATATTGGTGAGACTTTATGGGTACAGCTGACATTCTTGGGAAACACTCAGCAAAGCCTCTGCTCTCCGGCTCTTAACAATCTTTCTGTCCCTCGTCTGCAGTGGTCCCTGAGCTGTAGGTATAGGAGTTGTTTTACAGATGTAGCCAGAGGAACTGGACTCCACAACTCTACATTTTGATTGGTTGTGATCAGTCTCCTTTGCCTGTTTCAAAGAAATGTTTCCAGCTGGGCGGTGGTGGCGCACGCCTTTAATCCCAGCACTCGGGAGGCAGAGGCAGGCGGATCTCTGTGAGTTCGAGGCCAGCCTGGTCTCCAAAGTGAGTTCCAGGACAGGCACAAAGCTACACAGAGAAACCCTGTCTCGAAAAACAAAAAAAAAAAGAAATGTTTCCTTGAGGAGGGCTGAGGACTGTTCCTATATGTGAGTATAAAGACAAGTATTTAGAACTACCCTAGGTAGTTAGCTTTCCAGTACCAGTCATAATTTCCCTAAAATTAAACTTTGGATCTCCCAGTCTCAACTTCCCATGTTCTGAGATTTATGCATGTACTCTAAGATTCTGCTATCTCCTGTAGCACTCCAGGCACAATGGTATTAGCCCCAACATCTTCAGAGTGCTTTGAAATTTACAAAATGTATTGGCCTCAGGATTCAGGACTGCTAGCTTCATTGTATGCATGAGACAAAAGACGCAGAAGAATTATATGACTTGTCATTGGTTATATAGTTGATAAGAGACAGAGCCCGGGCCTAGACTTAACCTTTCTCTCTCCAGATCCCCTGTTTTTACCTCAGTGACCACTGCCTTTCTGACCTCACAACATTATGATCATCTCTCCCTCTCTCACAGGCATTAATCATATACTGCCTGTAACCAGCAGAAAGGGGTTTGAGATCAGGGATCAAGATCTAAGAAGAGACGTTCCACTGTCTGATAAGTGTGCAAGTCAAGAGCCAAATTACGTAGAAATTACCACTGGGAAAATGACCTGTCAATGGAGGTAAGCTGGGAAGAGCCTTGGGAATGGAAAGTAACATCAAGTGAAATTTAATGGGCCCTGGATCAAGGCTCAAGTCAGGGCAAAGGGCAGAGATAGAATCCTGTTTCTGAATAGTTTGCCAAGTTCTTTGGTTATAGAGAAGCTGCATCCTCTCCTAGGGACACCTGGCTGAACAGAACCCCTCCTGAGTGAGTCTAGGGCTCACTGTTGGCTTCTGTACTCTCCTAATAATCTTAGTGATAGTTTGCTCTCTAGAGGGAGTATTTTGGGAATTTGTCCAGCTGTGGTTTTTCTAGACAGATCCCTTTCTTCCTCACAGGGTGACTGGTTGACTCATGGCTCCTGAGCTTGTTCAGCAAAGTCAGCTTCAGGTTTACCAGCTGTGACAAACGGGAAAGGCTCAGTTCTGTATCTGCAAAGTTGAATAGCAGCCAGATGTTAAGATACTAGGTCACCTCTCGCTCCCCACCAGGAAGATGGGACATGACCTTGAATGTGACCCATGAGAATTGCCCTTTGTGACAATTCTATGAAGTACAGTACAGCCTTGTGACATCGCAGGCATTCGAGCTACTTGAGAGGGTCAGGGCTCAGAAAATACTTGTGAAATGAAGCGAAGGGAGATGACGCCAGGCAGCAGTCACCTGGTGAGCCAGGTAACTCTCAGACCTCTCTCCACGTGGTCTTGGGGACATACTGTCATCTGAAGGAGTGCCCCGGTAGCTTCTTTCTCTTTGTCACCTCTCTGGGTTCCTGATTTTCCTTTGTATTTCAGACAGCAGCTGTTCTTCTTCGAAGTATGAACACTTCAGACCTATTGTCTCTGAACAAGATGTCTTTTGTTAGATCTGTTTTTATTTATGTGTATGTATGATTGTCTGTGTGAGTAGATGATGTGTGCAGGTATCTGCTGAGGCCAAATGGAGACACTGGATTTCCCTGGAACTGGAGTTCCAGGTGGTTGTGAGCAACTGGAACTGAACCCTGGTCCTCTGGAAGAGCAGCCCATTCTCTTAAGCACTGAAGCATCTTTACAGCCCCAAGCCTTGTCTTTTTTCATCTTTAATTGGACATTTTGAAAGAATATGTTGTTGTCATTTTAAAAAGAGACTACTAGCCTGGCATATACCACAGTTAGTCCCAGTACTGGGGAGGCAAAGACATGAGGATCCCTTCAGGGCCAGTCAAGGCTACATCATGAGGAGAGAGAGAGAGAGAGAGAGAGAGAGAGAGAGAGAGATACTGAGACTACTATTAATTCAAAGTAGGGAGAGCCAGGGTCTGTCACTTCTTTTTCTAATGTGAGCAGTACAGAAAAACTTGGAAGTCCAGTTTTAAGAGTTTGAAAATGTATATGTAATAGGAAAAATATAACATTAAAAAGAATTCTTAAAAGTATAGACATCTCAAATCATACTACCTCACAAAGCTTTATATCATTTTTCAGGTCATGGTTACATGAAAACCTGCAGAGTTGATGATCACAGTATGTTACTCCGTGTGTGTGTGTGTGTGTGTGTGTGTGTGTGTGTGTGTGTGTGTGTGTGCACGCGTGCGCGCATGTGTGTAGTAGGGGTGTATACCACATACATGGAGGTCAGAGGAGTAGTTTACCTATAGGTGTCTTCTTTTGCTCTCCACCATAGTCTCTTGAGACAGGTCTTTTACTGGACCTGGAGTTTGAAGTTTTGGCTAGGCTTAGCTGGCCATTGAGCTCCTGGGATTCATGCATCTTCATCCCCCAACACTTGGTTATAGGCATGCATGGCCATTTATAGCTTTTGTTAATTTGTGAGTGTTAGGGAGTCAAACTCCGGCCCTCAGGCTTTCACAGCAGACACTCTTGACCACTAAGCCATCTCTACCCACCCTATGTTAATCCTTTCGTAGTCTGCATTTTATTTAATTCCTTGACGTTTTCTGTACCATTGACCAGTAAGGAGGATTTGTTCATCTTATTTCTCCTGGTGCTAGGAACTGGCCCCAGTGCCTTGAGCATTCTAGATAAGCACTGAGCTGCAACCTCGGCCCTGCAGATTTGTTTTCAACAGCTGAAGAGGAATTTGCCTTCAGCGTGTGCTATAATGTTCTAAGCTATTTTCTTGTGTATTTTGTTTTTGTGTTTTGGTTCTTACTATATTTGTTGTTAGAGACAAAGCTGCACTGAACATTTTGTATAATGAACTTTATTCTTTTGACCAATAACTTGTCTAGAATAAAATCCCAGGAGAGAGATTACTGGATTATAGGGTATGAACATATTTGGGATTGATTTTATGTTGCTGTTTTTTAGATGGATTGTACCAATTTGTACACCAATAATATGTACAGTTTCTAATTCTGTTTCAACTTCTTGATGCTCAGAGCTTTGGTTTGCCCTTTCAGTAGTTTTGGATATATAGTATTTAGGGGGAAATCCATAGGCTTAACAGGTGGAGTTTTCTAAAGCACAAGGCAAAAACCAAACAAAAGCCAATTTGAGGATTACTGATTACTAGTCACCTTTCCTTCCCATGTTGAACTGAGTTTGTTTTTAAATCTTATTGTACTACCTGACAAATACATCCCTACAAGCTTGTTGGAAGCGGGGATAGAAAACTCTGCCATTCAAATCCACGATAGTAAACTGTGAAGAGAATTCTCATATCTTAGAGAGCAGTTTATCAAATAGTCCAAACAAGAGAGGCTTAAATAGTTAGGTTTTAATTTAATTTCACAGGATTCAATTACTGCGAACACAGAAGCGTGGTTTCATTTCCCTGCTCTGTTTTCACTAGCTGAATTCTATTGAAGAAAGGGCATGGTCTCCTTGAATGTGTTTTTCTAATCTTTGAATGAAAAAAAAATGAAGTATTATTCATTCAGTCATTGGTTTTACAAGTATTGATTGGGTGTGTACTCTGTCCTGACACTATACATAGATGCCAGGTGCTCAGGGGAAGATAGAATAGTGAACAAAGAGGACCAAGTCTTGCTCTAGGACTGTGACCGCAGAACTGTCTCTAAGACAGACAGCAATCATGCAGTGTGCTCTGCAGTGTGCTAGCAGAGTGTGTATTCCCACTAATGTTTCTCACTGACTTTACCACTGACATAAACACCATGTTTTGTTGAGAACTTGAACGTATTTTCCCAAGCAAACAATCTTCAGGGTTCTCAGCCCAGAGTGATGTGGGGTGGTTTGCGACGCCATCCCTTGGAAGGTTAAAGATGCCCAGTAACTCTTTTCCTTACCACTCGTGGTGAGGTGTTAAAAGCAGGTGGTTTGTGGCAAGGTAGTGTTGTGTACGAGGCTTCGCCTCCTTCTACGCTATCTGGGTGAGCTTTTATTTAGCTTAGGTTTCTCCATGGCTAAGCACAGGGCATAAGCTGAACGTTGTTTGAGTCGTGGTGTTTTCTTATCCTTTTAAAACTTAACTTTGTGTCTGTATCTTGGATCTTTGTTGTTGTTTTGTTTTTTTGAGAGGTAGTCTCACTGGGTAGCTCTGGTTGGCCTGGAACACATGTAAAGACCAGGCTGCCCTGACTCTGCCTCCAAGTGCTGAAATTAAAGGCTTTCACCACTACATCCAGCACAGTGTGTTCCCCAGTTTCTGCTATTGGCGAAGAAATGGGACCTCTGAGATAGAGAGAGGGCATTAGAGGTGTACTCCTGCCAGACTCCTTTTCACCTGGTCACACTCTAGGATTGCTAACTCATGTGTTTGAATGCTTGGCCCAGGGAGTTGCATTACTAGAAGGTGTGGCCATGTGGAAGTAGGTGTGGCCTTGTTGGAGGAAGTGTGTCACTGTAGAGGCAGGGTTTGAGATCTCAGTGCCTAGGGTGGGTGGCACACAGTCTCTTGCTGTTGCCTGGGGAACTCTCAGCTCCTCACCATGTCTGCCTGCACGCTGCCATATTTCCCGCCATGACGATAATGAACTGAAGCTCTGAAACTAAGCCAGCCTCAATTAAATATTTTCCTTTATAAGAGTTGCTGTGTGATGCCGGGCGTTGGTGGCGCACACCTTTAATCCCAGCACTCGGGAGGCAGAGCCAGGCGGATCTCTGTGAGTTCGAGGCCAGCCTGGGCTACCAAGTGAGCTCCAGGAAAGGCGCAAAGCTACACAGAGAAACCCTGTCTCGAAAAACCAAAAAAAAAAAAAAAAAAGAGTTGCTGTGGTCATGGTGTCTTCACAGCAATAGAAACCCAAACTAAGACACCCTTTTATAGTGTTAGTATTTCAGATTACATTCATAGGAGATGACTGAAATAGGTGCTAACATTTGCTTTCTCTGTATGACTGTGTGTGTGTTTCCTCAGTCGCTTCTCCACCTCATTTTTTGAGTTAGCCAGTGAGCTCCCAGCTCTGCCCAGCTCTGCCTCCCAGCACTGGGGTTATGGGCCAAGACCTCTCTGCCCAGCTTTTATATGTATTCTGGAGATTTCAATTCCGGCCTTCATGCTTGCATAGCAATGACTTTACCCACTGAGCCATCTCCTCTGTCTTAAAGGGCAAGTAAACACCTAGATTCTGGTGTTTTGAAAAATGACAGTCACCTGTGTGCATATGCCTTTAATCCCAGCACTCGGGAGGCAGAGACAGGTGGATCTCTGTGAGTTCGAGGCCATCCTGGTCAAAAAACCAAAAGGAAAAAAGAAAAATGAAGATTTGGTAACAATGGACACAAATTCTTTTTTGTTTTGTTTTGTTTTTTTGAAACAGGGTTTCTCTGTGTAGCTTTGTGCCTTTCCTAGAACTCGCTTTTGAGACCAGACTGGCCTCGAACTCACAGAGATCTGCCTGGCTCTGCCTCCTGAGTGCTGGGATTAAAGGCGTGTGCCACCACCATACGGCCTTGGAAACAAATTCTTTTAGGTGAGAATTTACATAGGAAGACTTCTTGCTTCCTGCAGAAACTGGAATTTGGTGTCCCTGGCTTAAGTATAATCTTCCAAACTGTATCTCCTTCACTCTCAGGTCAGGAGCAAATGGACCAAGGAAAGGGGTATGTGGGGGCTCATCTCACTTTTCCCATCCTCAGATCAGAAACTTCCTGCTTAGATGTGCCTTTGACCTTCCACTCTCATGGAAGTACTTCACTTGCCTGTTGAGAAGAAGAACGAAGCAGCCTTCTCTTCTCAACTTGTGAAGTGCTCACTGGTGATGGTGCCCATCTCCCCAAATGCCCAGGATTATCTATCATGTGAGGTCTGATACAGCAATTTCTCCAAGTGTGATCTGTAGACCCTGAGGGGACCCTTTTAGGGGTTCACAAGTTCAAATGTTTTTCAAAACAATACTAATGTGATCTTTTTACTGGGTTAACATTTGCATTATTGGTCACATTACATCTGTAGTCAGGAACCAGAGAGGTGAGTCAGATTCCCAGGTCACGGTCTCTTTTATTCAGTTCAGGACCCCAGCCCATGGCATGGTGTGACCCGTGTTTAGGAAGTCATCTCTGCTCAGCCAACCTTTTCTGAAAACACCCTCAACACAGAGATGTGTTTCCATGGTAATTCTAAATCTCATCAAGTGGGCAATGAAATTTAACCACAACAGTTCCACACCTGTCCTCTTGATCCCCCAACCACATTATTTGAAATTTCATTTTCATCTCATAATGCAACATTTACTCCATCTCTAAATATTCCCATAGTCTTTAACAGTCTTCAGTCTTTAACATTGTTTGAAGTCCAAAGAACAAAACCTCTGCTAAAATTCAGAACAAATCCTTAACATGAGCGAGCCTCTATAAAATCAAAACAAGATGTATTCTATAATTCCAATATACACAACACAGACTAGACATCTCCATCCCAAAAGGGAAAAATGGAACATACCAAGAAACGGTCAGACCAAAGCTGAAATCCAGCAGGACGAATTCCTCATTCTGCAGCTCCATGTTCAGTATCTAGAGCTTGTGTGGGAATCATCCTGGCTCCGGAGGACTTGGGTAGTCTTGTCCCTCCAGCTCTGCTGCCTATAGCACATAGACCTCTCCATTCCGTGCCTGTGCCTGTGACTTCCCTTGGCAAACTCCCAGGGAATCACCAACATTCTTGGATTTCCATTGCAAATTAGGCTTCACCTTTACAGCTTCATGCAGTGGTCTCTCAGGGCTTCCTCCCAGGAGCTCTGGTCCTGCCACACATTGCTTGCCCTCTGTCCTTCAGTAAACCTGTCTCAACTCCCTACTTTGGCATCCTGCATGACTACAAAACCAGTAACACATGGACAGAGCTGCCAGGTTCTACTGCCTGCTGTAGAATATTATTTTAAGGTGCGTTACTTTTGTTTATGTTACGTTTGTTTAACTCTGTGAAGCTGTGTTACTGTGCCTGTCTAAATCATCTGATGGTCTAATAAAGAGCTGAGCAGCCAATAGCAAGCCAGGAGAAAGAATAGGAGGGGCTGGCAGGCAGAGAGACTATATAGAGGGAGAGATCTGGGAGAAGAAGTCATAGCCAGAGAAGGGGGAGGACTCCAGGGGCCAGCCACCCAGCTACACAGCAAGCCTCAGAGTAAGGGTAAGATTTACAGAAGTAAGAGAATGGGGAAAAGCCCAGAGGCAAAAGGTAGATGGGATAATTTAAAGTTAAGGAAAGCTGTCAAGAAACAAGCCAAGCTAAGGCTGAGCATTAGTAAATAAGTATAAGCCTCCGTGTGTGATTGATTTGGGAGCTGGGTGATAGGCCCCCCAAAAGAGCAACAACAACAACAGCTGCCAAGTTAAGCCAACTTGAACCACAATTGCATTGGTGCCTCTGTGTGCTGATCCTGAACAAAGGCTTCCCTGGGCAGTTGTGTTGGGCAGGAAACCCCTTCTGCATCTTTCTCAGTCCAGGTTCTCTCTTTTCAAGTGAATTTGCGTCTTCACAAGGTGGAACCTTTCATGGGTGGAGTCTTGTCTTCAGGGCACATTGTTGTCAGAGCAGTTTCTCATTAATGGTGCTAATCTTGTCAACAATTACAATGGCTTCCTAGCACCTACTTTATAACTTACAATGCCTCTCCCACCAACATGTTCTTTATATCCTTCTGCACAGTTTGATGCACGCTCTCTTTGTCTCTATCTCTGTCTGTCTTTATGTGTGGCACATCCCAACCCTCTGAGGGCAGAGGCAGGCGGCCTCTGTGAGTTCGAGGTTTTGATCTACATAGTGAGTGCTAGGCCAGCCAGGGCTGAGCAGTAAGGCACTATAAAAAATAAAAGTTATTTCAAGCCACAAAGTTTGAGAACCACTGATCTAATATAATCAACTCATCCACACACTTAAACTTCCTAGGAGACCCATTCACCTCTCCTGGAGCTGCTCTGCTTGTTTTTAGGAAATAACTACCCTGACAGTGCCTACAGAACTGGAAGTGACATCCATCCTGTTGGGAGCACAAAGGTCCTTGTGCTCGCAGATAGCACTAGGGAAATCAGGAATGTTAAACACTTGGGGTTGTCTTTTCAAGGGAAAAGAAGTATAATCTCTTTTCCACCCAGAAGGCTGGGAATGGAAGTACACAATAGCCTAGGTAATCCTTGTACTATCAATGTGACTAGGGGTTCTCCCAAGCTTCCACAAGCAGGACCAGAGGCACTCAATAGTCTAGGTGACCCTTGCTCTATCTGTATGACCGAGACCACACCAGATCCTCCCCCTAGGCCCTGAAGATAACACGTGTACTTTGAGTTTCGATGAAATCATGCCTCCTTGTGCACAGGGGATTGTGTTATACCAGAGAACTTTTTCCAAGTTGCACTGTACTGAAATATGCCTAACATTAAACTGCCGAGAGTCAGACTCTAAACGTTTGAACCAACACCAGCTACTAAGTCTTGTGGTCCAGGCTTGTTGAACCGGATTTCCTTGCCTTACGTAGATTATTGGTGTTCGCAGTGACCCCCACCACATCTCTCTCTTCCTGGACCCGAGAGGCCTGGCCTCCACAATCTTGTCACCCTTCTTCCTCAGTGGACTTGGCTCTTAAAAATCCAGACTTGCACAATTGCAGAGCCCCAGCCAGAGTGGATGAAATAATTATTAATTACAAATATAAAAGTCGACACAAGCTCCTTTTGGTCATAGCTCTTCTGTGATTATTGAACCAGTCTTCAAACATGATAAAACCTACAAAACTCATACAGCCAGATTAGCAATATTAATTGCATATCCAGATGAAGTTTTCGTTAAACTAGATTTACCAATGCGATTTAAACATGCTAGTCACTTGTGTGGCTAAGTTTGGTAAACACACAATAATATAATGTCCTACAGTGTCATTTAAACTCCATGTGGCAAGACTGCATCCTTGGCATGTCTGCACCTCTCCTCATTAATCTCAGATAAATAAAACTGGTGTGAGCTGGATCTTAAGTTCAATAGTGCCCCTAAAATGTTAGGGTAGACCTTAGCTTTACCTTTAAAAAACACCGCTATTAGAGAGAAACAGAAATTAAACAAATTGTTAGAGGGCCAGAGAGATGGCTCATTGGTGGAGATCACTGGCTGCTCTTCCAGAGGGCCTGGGTTCATTTCCCAGCACCCACATGGCAGCTTATAACCCTTTGTAACTTCAGTCCCAGGGGATTTGACACCATCTTCTGGTTTCTTTGGGCACTAGGCATACATCTAGTGCATAGACATACATGCAGACAAAATACCTATACACACACAAAAAAAAATTTAAAAACCTTAAAAACAAAACAAAACAAAAACAAAAACGGGGCTGGAGAGATGGCTCTTACAGAGGTCCCAGGGTTTGCTTCCCAGCACCACATCAGGCAGCTTTTAACTGTATGTAACTCCAACTCCAGGGAATCTGTTGTCCTCTTCTGGCCTTGGCAGGTAACTGCATTTATGTGCATATACAAGTACACACACACTCATTCACACACACACACACACACACACACACACACACACACACACACACACACACACTTGAAAAAATAAAAATATTAAAAAAGATTATTAGAACTCATGAAAATGTGTCTAAGGATCTCAGCCTGAGAACTTCCAACAGTTCAGAGTGTGGTGATCTGTGTTTGAATGTGAACTCCACCACTTTCTGTCTTTGTGCATTATCCTGCTTCTGAGAGCCTCATTTTCCACAGCCTGGACCTTCTGATTTAATTTGTGAAAGTGTCATAATCTCTACTTCCAAGGGTAGTTGTGAGGATTGATATGACCATATAGACTTGGCACTTAGTACATTTTCAACCCTTTTCCAAAAGTAAACTTGGATCACCCTTGCCCACCAGTAAAGAGAGGCACAGGTAGTTTGGGGCACTTTAAAAGCCCATCAAAACGTGTTAGACACACAGAACCTAGCAAACCCCCCTGGGATTTGTTTTTACAGTGAAGATGCTCGGCCCTTTGTAGGCTTAAATGCAGAGTTAAGGCTGTGGGTCATGGATCTCTGAGGCTTTCCTTTCTTGTCCAGGAACTTCTGTCCCAAAGAATAAACCCCTCTGCTGTGTGCTTCACTTGTAGGGAGTGGAACTTGCTCGCTCTGCACGCTGCTTCACCCCTGAGGATGTCAGTGGAAAAGGCAAAGCCCCAGACACAGGCGCGGACATGGACCCATGCCTGGGTGTGAGCTTTCCAAGGCAGTCATTCTGCTCCACAGATGTGTTCGTGGAGGCTGTGGCACAGACCTGCTGTCTGTGCCAACGGGACCTACGGGATGAGGGCTCTCGGCTGCTCCCGTGCCAACACCTGCTCTGTAAGGACTGTTTCCAGAGTTTCATGCGGGAGTTAGGCCCTGTTACTAGGGCCTATGGGACAGTCCCAGACGGTAAGTACAAGAGCGTCACATCTCAGTCTACGGGTTAGGCATCTTCCTGTTTCATAGGAACCAAGCTTCAGGTGAAGAGAGAGTTAGAATTTGGATGCCCAAGGGATATTCATTGCTGAAATAATCTCTAGGGAAACCAAGAGACAGAGCAGACCCTCTGGGATTTGTAAGGTGGGGACTTTTCATCTTTGGGGTTCCCTTAAGTTGGTGGCAGACTAAGAGGCCTGTGACGATTTTGATTCAGGATTTGACTGCTTCCATCTAAAGATGGAGAGAATGGGTCCTAGTGTATGTAGCCTTCCTGGCAGAGGGAGAAGGGCTGGCCTCCTAGAGCTGGTCAGGGACAGATTTTGAATGGAACCATGCTGAACTATTCACTGTTGAAACTGCTGCCCGGCAGGGGGGAGCCAGTGCCTTACTCCTGAATGTCAGGTTTCCTAGGAAACACTCTCACTGAGAACTGTGAGGTCCTCAGGGGCCAGAAGCAGGTCCTTCCTTTCAGTGTTCCTGGAAGGGAGTGTGTGAGGCACAGCTAGTATGGAGTGGAAATGTGCAGGGGGCAAGGGAACAAAGGAACGGCACCTTGGACACCGTCCTTCATCTTGACTGTTTAGTTTGCCACAGTATAGCCAAAATGATTTGTAGCACAAATCTAGGTTTTCTTTGAGGTATCTTGGCTAAAAGTGGACTTTAAATGTGGATTTTGATTCTTTGAACCCATGGCAAGAAGCCTCATCTTTTTTAGTCTGCTGTGGGATTAGAAGATAGGGTATATTTTTAATTTTTCTTTTTTGAGTCAGGGTCTCATGCTGTTACTAGACCTGGGGTTATATCTGTGCCCCAACAAGTCAGGTTTGGCCACCCGTCTTCCATAAGCCAAATTAATAGTGAAAAGCAGAAACAAGAGATTTATTCAATGTGGCCACATTGGGAAGAGGCATAAAGAGATCCAGTCACTGACCAGAGAGAGGTAGGGTTTAAATCCAATGCAAGGGATATACATAACTAAGCAGTCTGGTCAAGATGTGGGGCTCCTGCCCACTATGGTCTCAGCTCCTGTCTCTTGCACCCCTTCTGGCTGCCCCAGGCTCTCCTGAACCCCCTCTGGCTGCCCCAAGCTCTCCTGCGCCCCCTCTGGCTGCCCCAGGGCTTCAGTTATTCTTGGCGCTGGCGATTCCTAGGGAAATTCTGATTTCTTAGCGCCCACTCTCTCAGTAGTCTGCTAACCAAAGAGAGGGCACCAGTGTCTCCTTAGAATATCTCCTTTCTTGCCAGAATGCAGTTTACAGTGCTATAGCCCATGCTGGCCTGGAATTTAATATAGAGGCCAGGATAGTCTCAAATTCATGGCAATCCTCCAGCCTCAGCCTCCCATATACTGGGGTTGTAAGTTTGAGCTACCACACCTGGCTGTGTACTTTCATTTTTAAAACCAATATATGAGTTTTGAAGTTAAACTTGATTCATTAAATGTTGTAGCCCACTAGGTTTCCTAATGGCTGTACCCAGCAGGACTGCCTAAGAGGTTGTTTGGACCACAGGCCTGGATACCAGCTGTTTGTAAGGGTCTTCACTTGACTGTAACCAGCAAGGGGGAGGTCTTTTGCTCCACCCCTTGGCATTGTTATAAGTAGACCTTTGGAATAAAGTTTGGGGCCGATGGATAAGGATCCAGGCCCATCCCAGTCTATCTTGTGTTTTCTCTCCCCTCTTTATTTCTAACTAGGTCTCTTATCCCTCATTCCTTAAGAATCCCTGGGTTAAATAATGGTGGGGCCTGGTCTGCCACAATTAAATGTTAAAAACATATATTGGGAATGATAGTACATGTTATTAATCCCAACACTTAGGAGGCAGAGGCAGATCTCTGTGAATTTGAGGCCAGCCTGGTCTACATAGGGAGTTACAGGACAGCCAGAAGTATATGGTGAGATCCTGTCTCAAAACCAAACCACTTTGTGTGTGTGTGTGTGTGTGTGTGTGTGTGTGTGTGTGTGTGTGTGTGGTGTATGTATGTGTTTGTGTGTGTGCACATGTGTGTGAATTTGTGTGGATGCCAGAGATTGACAATGGTATGTCCTCTTTTGCCCTCCACCTTAGTTTTTGGGACAGGGTCTTCTCTCACTGAACCTGGAGCAACTGATTAGCTAAATTGGCTGGCCAGCAAGTCCCAGGGGTCCTCCAGTCTCCACTCCCAAAGCATGGGTTACAGGCGTATACTGCCATGCTCAGCTTTTTCATGTGGATGCTGGGGTGCATCTTTAATACTTGCTTTCATCTTTAATAAATGGTAAAATTATATATACCAAAGAATTGTTTTCAATGATTTTCTTTATAAATTGTCACTAAATGTTTGATTTATATGCACTTTATATCCCCGTATACCTGGGGTTATATAAAAATTTCTCAGATGAAAGGAAAGAATTGAACAATTCTGGAAATACAGTAAATTTATAAAGACAGAGACTCTGGGAAGTGTGTTGCTGTCTAGGCTGTATATAAGAAACTCCTCACGAGGCCAGGTGCTGCTGATTGTGGCACCTGCAGTAGCCAAAGTCATAGTGTCAGAAAATAGAATGGTAGTTCCCAAAAGCATGAGGGTCACAGGAAGCTGTTGTTTAGTGGATGTAGTGTGGCAGTATCGTTGCGCTGCCAGAGTTTAGTATGTAGTCTGGTTATCAATCTTTTATCAGGCATATGATTTACAATTTTTTTTCCATTCTGTAGATTGCTTTTTCATCTTGTTGATGTACCAGTTTTTTATTATGGTGAAGTCTTTTTTTGTTGCTTATGTATTTGGTTTTGTTTCTAAGAAATCATTACTATATCCAATGTCATAAAGCTTTTTTATTTTTCTTCTGAGAATTTTATAGTTTTATTTCTTGGGTCTTTGGTTTTATTTAAGGATTTCAGTGTGAACTGTATATGTCTCAATGGCTTTTTTTTTTTTTTTTTTTTTTTTTTTT